TTTTGTTAATTAGTCTCTGTGCAGCACTTTAGAATCTTTTCATACAACATACTATACAAATCAAGTGTATTTAATTAAGGATAGGCAAAAGAATGGTCCAGTATTCCCTGCTCTCCCAATTCCAAGAAGGAATCTGACCATGACCCGGCGAGATTGACAAACGAACATGGGGGTCATGCCATGTTTTCTGTCTGAGGGCGAATGATATTTTCTCTCATGTGGAGTCATACGAGCTCCTAATAGCGGTGGCACTTATTCCTCTGCAGCCCACGAGTGTGGAGCTGCAGAAGTGGTAGTTTTGGATGGATGCACAGCTTATTTCGTCTTGCATGAACATGGAGACGCCCGACTGTGAACCTGAATGTGAGCGAGCCGGGTGCAGGAGGGAGTGTGTCAGTAATAATCCAGTGGCACGGTGCAATTTCACTGTCAATCAGGCGGCTGTCCCATGGAAGTGCCTCTTCTAACCACAAAATAAACCAGCCTGACACTTAACTGGGCTGTTGATTGAAAAAAACGAGTGTTGTTCTCACAGCAAATTTTTGAATATCAAAATCATACTCAATACAGTGTAAAAATGAAAATCTATTAAAAATATTAGGTCTACAATCTGTTTGGTGTAATTTAAAATAAAACTCTAGTGATGCATAATTATAGAAAATACTAATTAAAATTATAAATGATAGTGAACTTTTGTCATACATGCATATAATCATAGAAATATTCTCAACGTATAATGGTGCAACACCTGCATGTGAAAGTCTGATTCTGTCCGATAAGATGCTAAGCCGGGCAGGACCTGGTTAGTACTGTGATGGGAGACCTCTGGGAACACCAAGTGCCAGACTGATGTTTTGTCCTAACACTTGACCTACATTCCCTAGCATGAGTCTGGGGTGAATGGTTGGAGATTGAGAGAGGGGCGGATGGCAGAAATTAGTAGCAGTGCTTTCCATTTCCGTATTTTTTTTTTACTATCATATGTATGTAGTGAAGGAATAAGTTAAGCGTTTGGATGTCATGAAAACGACAATATATAAGAACAATTAGAATACTGTAATTCATGTTTATTTGAGCAGAAAACCTAAAGGGGTTCTAAAACTGTAAAGAAGATATTAGCCATGGCAGCTGTGGAAAAAAAAGAAGAAAATCTGTCTTTTAAACCCCCTCCAGTCATAATTAACAACAACAGTCACCGTTATACTTGAAATCTGCATAAATATTGCTGCTTCTCTCCACTGTCCAGATGTTAATAACAAATGCATAGCCCCTGGCCTTGTGCTTTTTGGACTGTTTTTCACCAGGCAGTTTTGATGCAGCTCAGAAACAAGGTCAGTGGTTCTCAGCGTTTAATGTTAAAAAACAAAGCGAGATCTGAGGACAGCCATGGTAGTGTAGCAGAAAGAAAAGAGATAAATGTAAAATAGACTTTCCGGGCGCCTGTTCCAAACGTTCACCTCTCATTATCGCTGTTGGGAGACATGGAAGTTGCCAAATGAATTTCCAAACAATTTTCCACCAACTAGGATTTGATGTCAAAGAGATCCAACTGTACGCCCATGAGGAGTCACCCAAGAGAAAGCAAAAAGCACTAGAGACGAGGCGGGAGGGAGCCAGAGGAAAGGCAGAGAGATTGGAGTCAACAAGCATAATTAAAGCGAGTTAGCCGCAGCATGTGGAAGAAACTGTCAGCTGAACAACAAACGGTGAAAAGAAAACGAATATGCGAGAAATTATAAATAATAAAATAAAATGCAAAAACCTTGAAACTGCTGTCATTAGCAAGACGTGGGCGAGTTTTCACAACACGTTCAGTCAATTTAAGTGCAAAGGCAAAACAGTGCGTCTCAAATCTTACCTTGATAGTGTGCGCTAAAGCCACGGTAACGGTGGTTGCCATCTGTGACAAAATGCAACCGGAGCCAGTTCTTGTTGCTCACAATAGGCGATGGGATATTACTGCCCGACAACCTGGGGAAATAAGAAAAGGCAAAAAGTTGAATTTATGAGCAGAAACTTTTTAACAATTTGAATTCAGCGAGTTTAAACCGCATGCCGCAAAAACACAGAAATGCCTTATTTTGTTTTAATATGTATTTATATTTCTGATTCTGTTTATGGACGGCACACAGCGTTCTCGGTGTCAGTGTTACTGTTTAGAATGTGGGCGTGAGTCAGGAGAGTTTGTTTGTTTGACAGAGGTGAAGAATGATGACTTTTTCAGTAACAGAAGAAAGAAGTAAATAGATCCACAAAAATATAATAAATATGTGAAGTCATTCTTTATTTTCCCACATAATATATCAATTATAAAGTGATTTTGGATTATTTTAGTTCTAAAATGCTCAGCAGTCATTCTCAATAAACGCACAACTCACACTAGAATGGCCAAAGCACATTGCTGAACACCTCTAGGGCTGGGTATCTTTTCAATGTGATTCAACAGAATATATTTCTGTATGATTTTATATGGTAAACAAAGGCTTTTCGCTCCTTATCTATATCTACGCTATTGTTGCATCTCCAAATTATCCAAGATGAATTGTTTTTTGAAGGTATATGGGAGGATTTTCTTCTTCCAGGTGGACAGTCCTCTAGACCAAGTGTCTCCAACCTTTTTCACCTAGAGAGCTTTCAACCTGGAGAGACTACAAGAGACGAGATGCGTTTAAGAGTTGTTTATTTTATGGATTGAGTTTGTTTATTGGTTTGGAGCTTAGCCCCCGGCTGTGGCCGTGCTCTGAAGAGATCTGCGCCTGGGTGCAGATCATGATCCCCCGGGGCCTAGACACTGGTGGTGGCAACAAGGCAAGGTGAATGTGAGAGTGAAGAAATCCTGAGGCGGAGGTGGGGAGGAAGTGGTTGCAGCTTGAAGTCCGTTTGGTGAGCTGTGCTCTGCTTTGCTCTTAAACGCTGGCTTGATTGACACGGCTGCAGGGAGTTGATTAAGACAGGCTGAGTAAGGCGTGGTCAAGCCTGGTGTGATAACGTAGGTAGTTACCATCCTGAACCTCCGCTTAAGATGCATTTTTTTCCGGGGACGATAAAGGCAGAGAGCTACTCATTTAAGCAGCCCTCGGAAAAATGTGGTGATATATTTATGTGAACAAGCCTGATATTGGGTACAGTCATTATTTATCATTGCATATTTATAGTGACAAAGTAAGTGCATCTACAATAATAAATAGTGATAATCAACAATACAATCTAAAACATTATGTCTATTATTTGATTATTTCATTTCTAAATCCTTTGGCGAGCTACTTGGAAGGGCCACCCCCTTCCAAGCTACTGTGGCTCCCGAGCTACAGGTTGGAGACCCCTTATTGGTCCTCCTACTTATCAATCATTCTAGTGATATGCGAGGCACATTTCTAATAGGAGTTTCCTCTGAGGAGAGGGCGGTTCTTTCCAAAAATTCGGAATAATCTTTCTATATACCTTTACTATGTGAAACTATACAAGAAGGTAATATCTAAAAAAAATTCATTATACCACGCCTGTTTGAACTGCACAGCACATTCTGCATGGATCCATGAAACATGTACAAATGGGAGTGTGCCCTGAGTTTTAATCATGAACTAGGAACTAATTAGAACCAAACAGACTCCTGCTCCTAATTGGATTGAAGTCCATGGAGTCTTAGGGTCAGACGGTCTAACGGTCTCCTAAAGCCATGAAATGTGTCCGGCTGGAAATTGAAATTATTCGAATTATATCACACCGGGTACCATGAAGTCACATGGTAGTCTTCAACACATTAGTCTGTGAAAGTAAATTCAACACTGATGTTCAAATGCAACCTCCCGAATGCAACACTGTTTCCGTGGACAATGCTTCATGTTTTTCTTACGCACTCACATTCAACCACTATTTATTGAGATCATAAGAAGAGAACTTTATTTATCCGGCAATGGGGAATTCTCAGTGTTGCCGCTCCATTAAAAATAAGTACTGTGCAATTAGCAGAAGAGGTTTCAGACTGATATTTATTGTGATGGCTGTTTATGTATTTGCAGCATCCGGATATGGACAGAATATATAAGAGATAAAGGGATTTGTTACATTGTGAGTGTTTTGCACATTAATATTGAACATAATATTAAATGTGCATACAACTTGCTTTTAAATGGTGGTGTTTGGCCAAAAGGCAGCTCAGAGTGGAGCAGTGACTGAGGAGGAGATATCCAACCTGCTGCCTCTCATTCAGCAGAACTGACCGCTGAGACAAGAGGTCTGGGAGCGGCGTAAACTAAGCAAGCGTTGTACTCTAATAATGACACGATTGGAGAAGCTGCACATAGACTGAGGTCACAGTTCAAAACAATACTGAACAACCTGAGGTCTGAGGTAGTTATGAAAGGGCCTAAAAATACTATATATAGGGAGGGATGAAAAGGCCTTACAATACAATAGATATTGTAATGCCTTTTCATCCTTCCCTATGATCATCTGCCTCTATATCCTGTCTTTGGAGCAGAATGAACATGACAGAAAAAAAACACAACTCATCTCATGAATGTCAAAATCATGTCTTCAATCTCACGTCAAGCCTCAAGGGAATTGTATCTTGTCTTGCTTTACTAAAGCATGGGCAGTAAAGCCAGTGCAGCTATACAATTCTTTCTTACATTCTCAACCATGAAATGCACTGAGGAAAATAGTGTGTCATGTTCACCAAAGTGGAATGTACTGTATTCCACTATTAGCCACCAAGGCGCTTTTCAACTGCTCAGGCTGATTTGCACGAGATAATTTGAAGCATCCATCAAAAAGTGTTTGTTACTAGATGCTTCACTTTTTGAATATATCCTGCACTACATTTGTCCACATCTATACTCCCACAAACAACAACAAATACGAAAAACCAAAGCACCACTTTTAATAATATTAGCTTTTTGGCACACTGAATGTCTTGTCCTGAGCCTTTGATGGCACACAGCACTTGTAGATAGAACCCAATTTGCAAGTCTTTCATCAAGTAAGCTGTATAAAATCTCCTAATTGGCCGAGGAGATGAACAAGGCTCTTATGTTTGGCAAAGGAAAGTGGGTGAGGTCACTGCAGTCGGAGGAGAGGACATTCTCACCACAAGTGTCCTCGGCTGTGGATTCTGACACATCAGAATCAAAAGAGTCACGTCTGAGCCAAAATGTAAGTCACTTTTGAGTTATAACATAGGGTTGGTCACAGAGAGAATGTAGTGTAATTGTATTCTTTTTAATGCAATGAGAAAAAGAGCACAATTACAATTTTGTTAGAAAAGCTTAATTGACTATGATCATAAACATCAAAACATTGCAGAATATACATCTCCCTTTGATGCCCAAGCTTTCATATCAAGCCCAAGAAGTGTCTTCAATTGTTAGTGTATTTCCATTGGATTTGTTCGGCCATACGTAACCTTGGCTTCCTCAGGCACATGTAGCTTCACATAAACAGAGTAAATTATGAAGTGTATTGCCCTCCTGTGTTCGCCTGTCTCCTCCCATAAACCCCTGCTGTTAACCTTCGCAGTCCATTAATATCAACACGCGTCCATACACTTACATGGCCAATGGCGTCACCCAGGCAGCATGCGGGGACCCAAAGCCTTAACTATGAGTGGAAAAAAGTGGGGCAGTGAAATGCTGATCTGGTAGTTTGCATTGGACTGTATGTGTATGGGTGTAAGAGAAGAGACAGAGAGGGTCACCTTGTTCCCCAGATCAGTACACTGTAAGAAAAAATACACCATATCTACTCAATAAAAATGAGGCAACAGATTACAAGCAATTGTTTTAATTAAATTTTACATTGTTTAGAATTGAGTAAATACTAATTAAATAAGACACTTAAAATGTATCTATTTAATATGAGTAGATTCAAATAGGAAGAGAGAGCAGAATTAATTAAAACTAAACAAAAATATTGAGTTAATTTGAAGAATATGAACTCCCTATAATGTGCAAATAGTACTAATAAAAATTAATTAAATTCTACCTATCAATTGTATATAATTGAGTAATAATAATGTATTACTATTAGTAATACATTATTATTACTCAATTATATACAATTGATAGGTATTGTATAGTAAATTATTAGTAATTTACTAATATGTGCATTGATTTGAATTCAATCAATGCAATGAATTAAATCTAAATACATTTAAGAATAACTAGTACATTGCCCATGAAGTACAGAACTCAATTAATACTCAAATTAGCATTTTATTAACAATTAACAACCGGATGCGGTTATCCGAGGCATCTCAAGCAGCAGCAGCCAGTAGAAGCAGTATGCATGTGCCAAAACATAAAATCATAAAAGTGCAATTTGTACAAAGTAGGAAAAACAACATTTGTTCTTTGACCTATGAAACGTAACCAAATCAGTGCAAACTCACAAACATAACACTTTGAAATGTGCATTTTCCTAGCTCTGTAGTCTCATGTTCCAACTAGAAGTCTGCTCACACATTTCAAACCAGAACTCTACTTTACATAAATTACTTAAGTGCCATTTGTACACGGTAGAAATAAAAAATAAAAATAAATAAATGTTCTTTGAAATAACATTTGGAATGTAATTGACCTTTGTGGGACAAAGTCCAAATCAGTGCAAACTCACAAACACTTCAGCTGTGTGGGATAACTGAGATTCAACGCATAGGTCAAGCCAAGGAGGACAGAGCAAGCCCGTGCAATATCTCCAAGTCCTGGGATGACTTCCACACCCTCTATGACAATTCCAACGTTCTTGGGCCTGTCGTTTGCAGAAGCTCCAGGCGTTGAGGTCACAGTGTCAGTTCTCAGTGTCCTGCAACATGAAATTATAAGTGTCTTATTATAAAAAACTGTCAGAACAAAAATAGTAGACACTACATTCATTATTGTTTTCATAGCTTTTAAATCTATTTTATTAAATTTTATTTTCCCATGGGCCTTGGTCTCAAATTGTTCTTTCATTGTCATGAGGGGTGTGCCGGTCCACCTGGACCGATAAGCTCTAACCTTAACGGTCTTCTAAACAGGGCCGCTGCATTGCTGCACTAATCACACGCGCTCAAATATTAATTTTTAAAAAGTCTCTTTCAGCTCTCATGGATGCGTTCGTTGCATCGGATCTGTTCATCCCCGCTACCCTGCACGGGAGCGCATGTCGACCCTGAGCTGGGCTCTGCCACTGCCCTGTTTCCCCTCTGCAGTGAGACAGGTACGCGCGGGAAAGACACGCTGTGTTAGACATTCAAAACGTGCTTCATCTACTCAGAAACCCCCCCGAGCTACTGCCGCTAACCCGCGCTAAAAAGCCACACATAACGACTTTGTACTGAACAGACGAGCCACGTGCACTTTTCTTCAGTTCTTTACAGTTTCGGGTGGTCTGTTTTTCCACAAACTGCGCACACACACAGGAAGTGACTCGAGTCTAGTTAATTATTTTTCATTTGGACTCGGTCCCCAAAGCTACAGCCAAATCTAACCAACAGCCTTGATTTACTACTAATAATAATAACAATGTAAAAAAATTGTAAAGTACGTGAAGTAGCCCATTTTAACACCCAAGTGTACGCGCAAATTGGAAATAAAATGTAGACTAATAAAAAATCAATATAGGCCAAGGATTAATGCCTACTTATACAATAGCCTCTATCTAACTTTTTTGTCCTTTTAAAGAACCGATAAAGTACCGTTAAAGTACCGGATTGATAAGGAGTATCGATAAGAGTAGTACTATCGATAAATCCTTAATGATACCCATCCCTACTCTCGGTTCATCCTTTCAGTTGAGTTCAGAGATGGGAGAATCTATGACAGGGAGCACTGAAGCTGTTAAAAAAAAGATACTACAAAAAAACAACAACAATGACAGACCTGTGTCAATCTACTTAACAGCACCCACTTGAGGAATTAAGGAATTACGGTGCTTAAAATAAATTAATGCAAATTAAGTTCACATACGTTGAATTCTTTGATGAGATGGTCCCCTTGTTCTCCAAGGTATTCCATAAGACACCAAAGGACAACCTCTCTGGTCCTCTCAACTGAAGAGTGCACTGTGTCCTGGGGAGGAATAGCGAACTATCTAAATGACGTCACTAAGACACGCCCCCGCCGCCTGTCAACTCCCGCCCACATGTTTCGGACAAACACTGCCGAAATGAATCAAATACCACTTGTCACTTTAGACGAAAATGATATACCAGGGGCAAAATTCCACCATCAAACCATCAGGGATCATAGTGTAGACCAATTATAACGTTGGCTTGAATGTCGTGGTCTTCCAGTAACTGGTAGAAAGTTTGATTTGATAAAAAGGTAATGGTGAGGATTATGCTAACATTATCTAGTCATTTAAATTGCAATGCTAGCGCCTTCTTTGTTTGTTTTGCTGTGATTAACTTCCATTTATCAAGTTGTTTTTGCACTATCCACTTTGTAATTAGTTTGATCATTAGTTAGCTACAGTCAGCTGATATTATAATAAATCCATGATCACAACGGGTTACGCCACTGTCTCTGAGAGAAACTATCAGAGCTAGCCACACTCAGTAAACGCAAATGACAATCAATCAACACATTTAAATGTTAATGGGAGAATACATTATACACATTCATAACAAGTGCACGGAGGTTTTCAGAATTAACTGTTCAGGTTTTCATGACAAAAATACTTTTTTAATGCGACTAAAGCGATCGCTTTTAGGTTAACTATCCTCACTGTTACTCGCCTGCCACGGGAAAACCTTTGGGAACTATTTTCTTTGCACTCATTAAATAAACCTTTCGGCATGAGTAGTGAATGACGTTTATTTTGTGTGTTCAATTGGTACAAAGCCGTATAATAAGCAGACACAAAGTTGAAAAAAATCCCTCTCATCTTTCTTCAGGTGTGAGAATTGTATACTTTCTGGATTAGGACAAACAATACTAATATGGATTGATGGGGGTAAATGGTGTAAAGAGAAAGTTTGTGCTAACTACATTCAGAAGAGCTCAGACGGACCTGATACAGCGGTCCAGATCCAGTCCCAGCTAAACGTAGCTAGGACTGGATCTGGATGCTCCACAGTTGGTCCAGCGAAGTGTTTTGAAAAAACATGTGCCCTTTTTAACCTTTTCATGAGAGAAATTCTGCCGACCACAAGCACCCACCTGGTCTGATCTGGTCCTGGTCTGGTCCTGGTCTGGTCCGATGTTGTGGTTTAACGAACGGGTTGAATGTTACTTTCATATAGTCCTTTTCAGAGTATCTGAAATCGCTCCGACAAGCACCATAACTGCAGTGTTTTGTTGTCACCATGATTCAATGATTTAGCCCAAATAAATACACACGCGTATGAGGAGAACACAGTAGAACTCAACGAGTCGTACACAATGTTTGTCCGAAACATGCGCGCATGCGCAGTCATCTGAGCTATTTTTAGCACATTTCGGAAACCGGACAGTGCCCTATACAACTACTATTAAGTCAGTAAATAAAATGTGATTAAAAATCATTGGTTTCTGTCATTTAGAAACATCAACACTAGATGTACAAAAATCTGTTTTTGTACATCTGGATCGTGTAGTTGAGGTTTTGTTCATGCCCATCAGTTCTGTCCTTATTTATATACAGGGTTCCGACTCTTTACTTGAAATAATCTTCCAGCAGATTTCCAAGATTTTCATGGACAATCAAAATCAAGACAAGGTACCGAATTTCCAATTTCAAACGTCCTGTGCTGTAGTCTATAATGCTGCAGAAGATCACCTTTTGTTGTTGCTCTGAATCCAGACTTTACACTGCCATCTCATTTGGCGGCACCTAAGGAAAACACATATGTTTTAAATTTAAATGTCTCCTCTGTGAGATAAATAAAGCTTATCTTATCTTATCTTTAGGGTTAGATATGTGAACAATTATACCGAACACCGCTAATATATGAAACAGTATTCTGTCACTAAAATGTTACCAGAAAACTCTTCCGTGTGCCGTTTAGCTGTAGAATGAGAACGTTTGTGCCATGTTAAGCCTCCGTCCCCATGCTAAAGTTAAGTCCTAGCCGCTGTGGACGGGGCATTACCGCACTTAAATAAATAAAGAAACTTTGGCCTATGCATGAAAAGAAATAAAGTTGCTGATCTAAAACGTAACGTTGTTAACAGACTGATTTCACGTGTGTTTAAGTGAGTTACCTTCGTATTTGCAACAACAGAGAAGTTACCCGCCTAAGAAGACAAACTCCATGCAGGAAGTAAACGAAAGTAGGGAAAGTACATTTCAAAATAAGAGATACTCGTTATACTTCAAACGACAACCCACACTATTTGTGTGTCTGAACTTTATCATTAAACCCAATGTTCTTAGTTAACCCATTTATGTAATTTCAAGAAAACATACTGGCGATATCAACACGCGAGGCATGTAGGGAACGCTGAAACGTAGGGAACACCATAGCGGAAATGCTCCTTCAAAATAATTGTTTGTCTTCGAACCATAAATTCTTTAAAAATGTGCAATGCCTTTTTCATATTTTGGGCAGCAACATCACGCTAATACATCAAATAGCCTTGCCAACAGAAGCCAACTTTCTGTTGCTACTGAGTCTCTTTTTCTATTATAGCTCGCCTCATTGTCATTTACCACTACATGCTTTCTTCTCACAAGCCCATCATAGAATACGTTTTCTTACCTTAGTAGTCCAGATCAATCAAAGTCTGCAACTCTCTTCAAATATCTTGTGGCGCGATGATGCCTGCAGCGTCAGTTACAAAAACATAATGTGCACTTTGACCTGGAAGTGCTTTCCCATTCAAATTTGCCTGATTATATTAATTTGAATTCACTCAATATTCTGTCTGTTTGGAATTAGATAAACATATTGCTTAATATGTATTTAAATAATATGGGTGGATTTTATTCAGAATTTTTTTATATGAAATGTAATTAAATGTTTGCTTGAAAATCAAAAACACAATTATATTGAATATATTTTACTTGATACATTAATTCAAATCTACATGACCACAGAATCATTTCTTACAGTGTAGGAAGCTCTGAAGTCGCCTATTAGTCAAACAAACACGATTACAGGGTAGATCCATCTTGCCCTATTTGCATGCAGGGTTGTGGGAAAATGCATTGTTTTGTAAGAGCAGAAAATAATTGGTTGAAAAATAATTAGTTGGAAAAAAGAGTGCTCTGAAAGAAGTTGGACAATGGGATAATGCTTTCCCCAATTTAAAAAGAAAAACACACAATGCTTTAAAGTGCGTAGAAAACTATACACACAGTGGTTAATTTTGCAGTTTGCGGCAGATTAACCCCAATCATTTATTGCATATTTTTTTCTCATAACTTTGGGACCAGCTCGAGTTAGACTGTAACAATAAAGGTGGCAGCCGACAAGTTGGACACAGATGAATTACACTTATGGTTAATAGAACATAGTGGGAGGTTCAAGTGTGCCATACAAAACATTAGAATCTGTGTTGAATACATGGGATCAACTGATGTGAGCCTTTGTATCTTATCACTGTTCAAACACCAACATAAGGGTATACATGGTGCAATAGTTGACCACAGGAACAATAGAGGATGGAGGAGAGAGGGCAGTCTAGCCATATGGGTCTGCTCAGGAGGAATATGGGAAGAAAAAGCATGTGCACAGCTGTCCATTCACTGCTCAAACACCAAACGGTTTCGATCACAAGTAGCGAGCTGAGAAACATTAGGCAAGAGGCACCAGAGCGGTTGGAAGCCAGAGCATCCCACACAGAGCCTATGCCCTGAAATGTTTCCACAAGGTAAAATCACCACACTGCTGTAAAGCCCATTGCTCAGTGGGTCTGATTTGTTTCCAGTGGTAAAGAGCCTGGGTACTGTTGATGCTGAAACATTGGAACTCCAACTGAACTCCAATTGGCTTGGCACATATCCATGCCTGTCATACAGTATATACCTACATCACTAAAAATCATTAGGCTGATTCAAATTAGACGTGATTCTTATATATACGCTGCAAAGCTATGTTTATGTGTGAATACATGCACATTTTGAAGTTATCAAACATTATACAAGGCAAATTAATATATTATCACCTTCTGTCTCAACAAAAAGTCTAGTTTAATTTTCCCACCACATAGAACAAAACAAAGGCCATTCTGGATCTGAGGGCTTTGTCTGGATTTCACTAGAGATGACTCCCTGGTCCACATCGTCTGTCTGGATTTGCACTCAGAACCCTGGATTTTACAACTTTCTTAGGGAAGTTTTATTGTAACTGTGCCATATATTCTTAGACAGACAAGTGATGACGGAAGTGACCAAATGTAGGTGTGATTGCCAAAGTCTGGTATAAAACATGATCAATTGTTGCTGGAACTACCTGTGTAAAGCAAAAGCAACATGTCTTCAAAGCAATAAAAGCAATTGTTGGTTCTCTATCATTAGATGACTTTGCAGATAGGATTCTAAGTAGACGTACATAGAGTCAAGACGACGGCATTCTCCTGACAAGCACTTAAGTTTAAGGAAAGTCTGAAAACCTCTTCCTCCAAAACATTGCTGTGGTTCAGAGCAGCCGAGAAGCCCGTTGATTTTCCCCATGTGAACAATTTGTAATGCATTATTAAATCATTCATCTGCACTGATGGCTTCTGTCTGTGACTGTTAAGTGTTCTCCCCAGATATCTGCTGTAAAAGCACTTCAGAGTGGCCCGCGGCGGCAGTAGATCATGTTCAGATGGGCCCCTGCGATTCACTTTAATACTGGGGCTGGAGACGGAGAGGTTGGACAGCAGAGCTATAAAGCATCTCAGGTGAAGAAATGCATGCTAATAAAGGCCACTGAACCTCGCACTGGTCTCCGCTCATCAAAGTTATACTGGAAGCGACTCTCACATCTCATGACTTAGCACTGTGGAAGAGAACGCAGACAATAGGGAACTTCAAAGTACTTTCACATAAACTATACATGAAATGGTGACAGATACTACATTTGAAAGAATATCTAATATAGAAGCGCTAATTTTCATTACTATTCATAAACCGTTATGACATACAAAAGAGAGGTCTACATTAAATCAGGATTTTTACGGTTGTATAATTCAATTTAATAGTTCATAGATTTATCAGTGAAATAAATATTCCTCATTCATAATATGGAATAGGACAAATTGAACCACAAATGCATATATCAATTATGAGGCAGCAACAGTTCAAGAGGCTCAAGAGGAGAAAAACTCATTTTGACAAAGGACAATTCACCTTGTCATCGACTTTTCCATGTGATTGGTTTAAATTTTGTCAAGTTAAATAGGTTTTTGTTATAAAAATCAGCTATTTTGTTTTGTATTTACTTTAAAAATGAAGTTACCAAATTGTGGATGGATCTGTTTTTGCTGCTGCTGGACACTTTAATTTCTCCTACAGGGATCAATAAAGTATCTATCAATCAATCAATCAATCAATCTATCTAAATTGTGAAGATAGACTTTTTTTCTAATGCAAGCGCAAGTTAGACCCGCCCCCACAGGTTCATGTGTCATCTTCGGACATATTTGTCACAGGTGTAATAGGGGTTAGGCAGTATAAGTCTTGACTTTATTTATAACTAAAATTCTTAATAGACACAATTTAGTTTTTCTTTCTTATTGTAAAGTACATACAATCTTTGAAAACCTAAGATCTAATGTAAATAATGGCTGAGGAAATAAACTGCTAGAGAAAAAAACATAGGGCAAATCAAGATGCATTCATATGGGCAAAACAAAATAAGTGTGATTCATCCCCCCCAAATCATCCCAGCTCAAGCATGAATATAACATTAGACAGATTGTAGAATTCTGTATTGTCTGACACCACATACGTCAGAGCTGGATTTGCCTCCGAATAGAAGATGACAAAAGCTGGAGCTCTGTGCCCTCAGTGTGTGTCTCTGTCGTCGCCAATAGGCGCTCAGGACGTCATTGTTTCCACTAAGAATGTTGCCTTTACAGTTTGCACAACAACGCAGCAGGGAACACTCTCTTATGAAAGCCCCTTGAGGCGCTACTCTAGAAATGATGTTTTTATAAAGCACAAGACGCATGAACGCTGTCCGCTGGTGTACGAAGGGCACCATTGCAACAAAAGATATTCTGGGAAGGGAAAAAAAAATTAAGTTTAGAAAAAAGAATCACAAGTAAAGCCTGTACTTTGAAAACTTTGATGTGTACAGAAGAATATAATGTACCTGCCTATGTCTTATGTCAAGGCATTTTATTTTATTTTAAAGTGCGACTAAACACCAAATCAACTTTTTTTTTACTCATAAACTGCATAAATATGTTTTTTGTAGTGTTCTCTACATGTTTTTTTTTTGACATTTTAGTGCAAATTAGATAAAATCTCACTTTTGAGCCTAAAAACGTCTGTGTGGCGCCCTCTCAACATTTTTGGTGATACTGCATTTGAATTTGGTCCTGGCCTCTCCATTGACTGTAATACTGTGTGACGTCAGTTGGTGTGTGTGTGACGTCAGTTGGTGTGTGTGTGACGTCAGTTGGTGCGTGTGACGTCAGTGGGTGTGTGTGACGTCAGTGGGTGTGTGTGACGTCAGTTGGTGTGTGTGACGTCAGTTGGTGTGTGTGACGTCAGTTGGTGTGTGTGACGTCAGTTGGTGTGTGTGACGTCATTTGGTGTGTGTGACGTCAGTTGGTGTGTGTGACGTTAGTTGGTGTGTGTGACATGCGTCTGTCTGCTCCAGTGATATAAACCCATCCAAATCTCACACACCCCCCAGCAGCAGGTTGGAGTATTCTGGCGACATCTAGTGAATTAAAATTAAATTACATGAGTTGACAGCCAGTTCTGCTGAGATAATTCTGTGGCTTAGATTCAGGTGTGTAGCTTTACAATTATCTTAGTGTGTAAAAAAGGGTGAAATGAGACTTTCTGGTGTGTAAACTATTGCTTTAAAGTGATTGTCTGGAGTTTGTCAGAAAGAGAGAGAGGTGTAATTGATTTGAAAAAAAAAGACGCAAGCTCCCTCCCTCCTCCTCTTTCCCTTCCGTAACACTTTGAAATGTTAATCAGAGAACACATTATACATATACATTATTAATACACATGCACAGAGGTTCTCAGAATTATTTGTTAACGTTTTAATGAAAAAAAAAATGTTTTTATGCATAAAAAAAGAGATTGCGGCAAACCAGGAACAAGCTGTTATCATGAATTGCACATTATAGGACACATCTGCAGAGGATCTGATTATGGATATAAGTTCAGTATATAAATGATTATGGATATAGATTCATTATATGCACAAGTACCTCAGCGCGGATGTTCAGAATTCTTTGTTCAGTTCTCATGTAGTTCCAGAGCCTAATGGAGGCTTGATTCCGAGGTTCTGCGAAAACAAACAACTGAGCATCCGCGCA